CCGGGAAGTGAGCTACCTTTGGCTTCCTCTCCAGATCAGTCTCCCGCTTGGGACCCAGAAGGTGGAGGACCTGAGCAGAGACCACAGTTGGCCTGGGACCGGAGTCTCCTTTCCAGGAGCCCCTGACTGACCCACCCACACACCTAAGCACTTCCTGGCCCGCCCACCTCTGCTCCTCACATAGTTCTCTGGCCTCAAACGCTCTTTGCCTCCTCAGAGTCCACACTGGTTTCAGGTAACAGAAACTGCCATTTAGGGAGAAACTACGGGCCCAGCATCAAGATAGGCGACCGATCTCAGCAGCACCCTCCTTTCACTCTATGCCAGCATCCTAAGTGAAGATCTTGACTTCAAATGAGGTGAGAGCTACCCCTACTCACAAGGCGGGGAAATGGAGGTTCAGGGTAATGACTCGGCCCAAATGAGGCTCAACCCAGAGGCCAAGCCTCTCACTGCCTCCTCCACACCAGGCTCCCCTATTCATCAGAACAGGGACAGGCCTCCCCCGCCCTGGCTTCTGTTTACCCCCCAGCGGACTACACCCTGCGCGCGGCAGGTCTTTGCCTGCTTCAGCTCACGGAGGCGCCCCACCTGCATGTCCACTTCGTGCTTGATCATTTTGCCATCTGCCCACTTGAGCGCAGCCCGAGCCTCTCCTAGAAACGCGGGCACAAGGAGCTGCAGGAAGGCAAAGGCAGGCACTTCCCACCCTCCTTCCCAGGAAAGGGTCCAGGCTGACCTCAGGAACCAGAGCCCGCGCCCAGCCAGACCTCCCCCGCTTTTAAAAAAAAATATTTCTTTATTGATTTCAGAGAGGAAGGGAGAAGGAGAGAGAGAAACATCAATGATGAGAGAGAATCGTTGATCGGCTGCTTCCTGCACACCCCCTACTGGGGATCGAGCCCGCAACCCAGGCATGTGCCCTTGGCCGGAATCGAACCTGGGACCCTTCAGTCGCAGGCTGACGCTCTATCCACTGAACCAAGCTGGCCAGGGCCAGACCCCTTTTAAGGGGCTCCGACCCCTCTGCCGCCTCCCTCTTATCACTCCAGACGAGAAGAGCAGCCCCCTCGCAGGCCCGCTCACCCATCAGCAGTCCCATGTTGAAATGGTAGCGCTCCTCCAAGAGCTGGGCCCGGTGGTGATTTATGGTGACCTCCACCTGCAGGCAGCCAGGCGGTCAGGTTCAGGAGAGTGTCCTCGGGAGCCACCCTCACCCCGGGCATCCTCCGGGGAGGAGCGGAGCCACGCCCTCCCGGGGAGCGGGCGGGGTGTCTGGGGAAGGACTCACCGCCTCCTCGATCTGCTCGGGCGTCACCACGATGCCCACGCCGCATTCCCGCTCAAAGTCCGCGGTGTCGATGGGGTCCAGCGGGTGACTCCGCACGTACTCAAGGGCAGCTGGCAAAGGAGAGCACCGAGCTGTGGCGTCTCAGCTCCGACAGGTAAGTGGGGCCCGAATCCCAGAAATCCCGGCGACGGCTTGGCCTCCGGGAGGTTAAGCCTGTACCGCCCCCAGCAGCCCCGGGGCCACGGGCAGGGAGCCTGGGGCGGGCGGGTCCCCCCAGACCTGCACAGCTCCCCTGTGCGCTCGGCCGGAACTCGGCATCGAGGTACTGGGGGGCTCGGCAGACAGGGGGCCCGGCCGGGCCCGGCGTGGCGGAGGCGGAGGCGGAGGCAGGACGGTGGGTCTCACCGCTCAGCTGGGGCTCGGTGTGGATCTTCTTGTCGGCCACGTAGCTCACGAGGAAGGAGAGGCGCCGGGGGTCCCGCAGTCGCGAGGCCAAGCCGTAGAGCAGGGTGCCGGTCGCCTTGTCGATGGCGGAGCCCAGGGTCCGCTGTGCCTGCGGGAGGGAGGGAGGGAGGCCCCCTGACACGGGCGTTCGCGCGGCCGGGGGTGGCGGGGCTCGGACCCCCGGCGCCGCGGGGGACACCGTCGGCCCCGGCCGAGGGCGGGCTCGCACCTGGGTCGCCGCCTCGCGCAGCTGCGCGCTCAGGGCCGCGTTCTTGAGCGTCTCGCGCGCCTTGTGCTCGCTCAGGCCGAGGCCGGTGAAGAGCGACAGGGAGTCCGCGGTCGCCATGGCAGGAATCCGGAAACCGGAAGGAAACGCCGGGCCCGTCTGCCGGTGGACGTTAGCCCGCTGGCCAATAGGAGGGCGCAGCCGCCGGGGCGAGCCAATGACGTCCTTCCTGGGCGAGAGGGGGCGGGGCTCGCCGAGGTGGTCGGCGCCGTGTGAAAGGCCGGGTGCGCCCCCACCGGCCCTTCCGGGCGCTGCGTTTCCGCCCGGCGCCGCGGGTCCTCGGGAGGGGCTGGAGGCGGCGGGACTTGGGCCGGAGGCAGGGGGGGCCTTCCGCCCGGGGAACCTTGGGACCGGCCCAGTCCGTTCTCGGGAGCCACTGTGAGTCGCCATCGCACTTCTTGAACCTCAGCCTTGGAGTCACGGAAATCACTGAGCAAAACAAAGCCCTGGAAATCCGGCCAAGACTCCAGGGCCGAGCCCGCGCTGAAGGGTGACCAAGGGGCCCCATGAAGACGGGCACTTTTCGGGCGCTCACCTGGCCCCACCTGGCCAGGAGGGACCTCGCAGAAGTCCTGCGATGATTTCGTCTGAAGTCTCTTGGCGCACTGACCGCCCCGCCCACACATGCAAATGCCGGGACAATCACAAGCAAATCAGACTCTGAAATCCATCTGCCGCATTTCACAGGCTCTCACTGGAGCGGGTACTGCGGGACCGAAGACACAGGGTCTCCATGGAGGTGGCTGTTGGGCTGGGGGGGTCTCCCCACAGAGCTGCTGGGGTGGGACGGTGAGAACGTCTCCATCATTGAAACTGGAACTTTAAAGAACAAAGAACTGGAATTCAGGTGTTTGGAGGCCTTGGGGATGCTAATACTCCTGGACCTTCAAGGACTGGGCAGGATCCTGGCTAGTCTGTACCCGTATTCTGTGTTCTGCTTTGTGGCCATCTCCCAGTAGTGACGGGTCCATTTCTGGGTCTACATCTGGGTCCCACATGATGACCAAATGCCGGCTCTGCCCAGGGCCACGACTGCATCAGGACCCAGGTCCAGTCTGTGTCTTGGGCTTCCCACCTCCCCGGGCCCCTTCACCCAGCCTGATGCCCAGCCGAGGCCAAGTGCACGCCTTGAGCAGGGGATACCACAGCACAGTGGTGCCACCTGGGCACCAAGAAGCAGGCACAGCCACACCAGCCCTGTGCTGAGTTCACAGCGGCAGCTGCTTACCCCCGACAAAGGTGCCTGTGATGAGCAGAGTGACTTCTGGTCTCCTCTGCGCCGGAGGACTTACTGCAGCACCGTCATTAATCCTGCAGGTCTGGTGACGTCCCCCTCCATGGAGCTAGGGCCTGCACCCGTCCCTGGCCTCAGCTAGCTGCCCTGTGGACCCTGTGACTCCATGTCACACGATGAGGCAGTAGCGCTACCAAGAATGCCGAAGTGGCAATGCACGCCAGCCAGCCCTCTGGAGCCCTGTGACTTGCACAGAGCAGAACACGAAGGCGTATGGGCCCAGCCTGGGGTAGGGTGGCTGGCCTGCTTGCGTGAGCCCCTGGAACTACTTTGAGGAAAATCCACTGAAAGGTGATCAAGGAGAAAAGCCAGGTGGCAGCCAGTGAGGCCCATGGTGGCATGGAAAGAGGCAGGGTCCAGCAGCCAGGCCTATGGACAGGTCCCTGCGGTGCAGGCGAACCATGAGCTTAAAGGCAGCAGAGGCCACAGCAGCCGTCTGCTGACGCCACAGAAGGGCTGTGGTGAGGGGCAGACAGCACCCCTTGATTGGTCATCCAGCACAGGTAGCCCACTGGTGGACAGACACGGGGCCATGCAGTGTAGTGCCGGTGCTATCCTGTTGCACACCATCCCTACCTAGTAGGCCCTCCAGCAGTATGCCAGCACCAGCCCCCAGCTCGGCGATTCTACCCTCTCTGCACGGTCTCACCCAGCTCTCCGGGTCCCTCTCTAAGGCCATCAACCCCACATGGCTCTTGTGTTGTCCCCACAGGAAAAAGCCAGCATTGGTCACAGGCTAGCTTTCTCCAGGCGCTCCTCCTGCTCAACATCACCCTTAAACTCCAGCCGATGAGCTGCTTGTGGGCATGGGGGTGGGGATGACCGACTGCCAGGCCCTGTGCCCCCTCTGCCTGCCTGCCTTTTCCTGGCATTTATGAGCACCAGCCTCAAGTACCTTGCTCCCCATCTCCCTCCAGCTGGAGACGCCCACCATACCCCCAAGAATTGGAGAGAGGAGGGGGCAGTCTTAACCCCGAAGTGATGCAAGGAGGCTTCTCACAAGATCGGCCCTTGCTCTGTGTGTGTACAAGGTCACCAAGGCTGAGGCTGGGACAAGCCTGCAGACCTACTGTGGGTGAACAGCCTGGGGCACGTGCCAGGAGCCACGGTCACAGGGACTCAGGGAAGAAATGGCCTCCCTCTCCCTCCCATGGGAAGCCCGCCGAAATGGCCTCTGACCCTTTCCCCTGACCTTGAGGAGGAAGGTCTTCCCCACAGACTGTCCCTGCTGTGTTCCCCTTGAGCGATCCGGTTGGTACTCAAACTGGCAAAGCCCTGAGAATGGGCGAGGAGGAGGAAGTCCCCCCACCTGTCCGCTTCTGGAGCCTCATGGGGTCCTCCACCCCTGGTGTGAGGCACTGACGGGGTGCCAACCACAGCCGCCTCCATGCGAGAACCAGGACCAGTGGGGTCAAAGGGCAGCAGGCAGCTCCCAGAGAGCGGATGGCACGGGGCTCCATGACCCACGGGGCCCGAGATTGGGGCCCACCCTCTCTCCTCGGACGAAGAGCACTTCCAGGGTCTTCAACACAAGGACACGGACACACACACCAAACGGTGGGAAAGGGAGGGGCCGCAGCACCTGGCGCATCAGTCACTAAGTCGCTTATTTAGCATTTATTTTTAAAATATATTTAAACAGCAGCAATCACTTCCAAAATGCAAAAAAAAAAAAAAAAATACAATTTTAGAATAAAATTATGATGTTTATAATGCGAATCAGAAAGAACTGAAGGTACAACTGAGAATCAAATCCCACAGTACTGAGGGTGGCTGGAGAGCCCAGGCTCACTGGTTTGGGGTTTGGGCTGACAAGAGGTCCCAACCTGAGGTTCCACCCTTGTCACCCCCCAACTCCCCACTGATGAAGCCAGTGTCCTCTGGGTTAGAGAAGGAGAAGCGGCAAAGAGCTGGCCTTCTATGGAGGATTCCCAAACCGTCCCCCCACCAGCCAGGGACCTGCTAATCGACCTCCTCCATGTTGCTGTAGGTGGGGGCTGGGCGGTCCACAGGGGGGGCGAAGCGTTCAGGGGCTGTCCGCGTGGGGGCCACCTCGGGGGCCTGGCCAGGGCCTAGTCCCTGCAACAGAATATGAGGACAGGGTTGGGGGCTGCCCAGTGTGCTGCCTGGCATCCCTGGGTGCTGGCTCGGAGCTCCGGCACCCAAGGGAGGGCCCAGGGCAGGCGCAGACAGCAGCGCATTGAGACAGAGACAAGATCAGCCTGGACAGTCTCGCTTTATTAACACTTTAAGTACAGGAAGCTCGGGGGCGGGGCCAAGCCAGGCCAAGGTCAGAGCAGCAGGATGGTCGACAGCTGGATGGATACCCACCCTCGTTTGCTCTGCCCCTGCAGGAACGACAGACCCCTCTCCCTCCCGACACACACACTGAGGCCCGAGCCCAGAGCTGGTCCCCCAGAGGCAGGCGTGCCTGGTGAGCAGGCAGGTGGGCGGCTCACAGCAGCTGCCGGAGGCCAGCTCATCTCCAGCGACTCTGGGACACCAGAGGATAGAACACGTTGAGCACGAGGGCCACCAAGGCTGCCACGGTGCCCAGAACAAAGTACCGGAGGCAGCCCTCATCTGGGGTGGGGGGGCCGCATGGCGGGGGGCCCACCCAGTCCTGGGGCCCCCAGGGACCCCGGGGCGCAGGCCCCTCGGGCACCGGCTCCTCCACGGCCTCCAGCTCCTGCCAAATCCGGGAAGCCTACAGTGTGCGGAAAGGGAGGTGGGGTGACCCAGTGTCCCCGAGGCCCCTGGCCACGACACTCCCACCCAAGGTGACTGGTGCTGAACCTCGACGTCCCCGGTGAGGCCGCAGGAAGGTGAGCGGGCAGGAGCCACCGGGCCACTCGCAGGTTGTCTAGACTGAGGGTGCGAGGGCGACTCCTGACAGCATTCTGGCCTCGAGAAGATTTCCAATCAATGTGCCACTTGCGTGGCGGCCTGGGGCTGGGCTGGCCGCCCACAGAGGGCACTGGCTCTTGGAGGACAGAGCTGCACCCAGGGACCTCCTGGCTCCTCCCACATCCAGAGCCTGACCGCTGTCTTCGAGGGCTTCTCCGAGTGAGTGGAGAGGGCAGCAAGGAGGAGGCTAGCACAGGAGAGATGTGGCTGTGCCCACAAGCCAGGCCCTGGGCACCCAGGGACGTAAGAGACAGAAGACCCTGAAGGCTCAGCTGAGATAGACGCTCACCTCAGAGAGGGCGACAGCCCCCCGGCCACGGCAGCCAGGGCAGGCCGTGTCCTGAGGGCACGGCAATCACAGTGAGGGCGAGGGGCGGCATGGAGGTGGGGTGCGGGGGAAGGCGGGGAGGCCAGCAGTACAGTCAGTTCATGGCACCGCGCCCGGGAGCTTGAGCAGACACTGGCCTGTGCCCGTGGTGCCTATGTGCACGCCAATGGCCACTTGGTGTGTGCACCTGTGTCCCCACACCATGTGACCCTCTGGCTGAGGCTTCCTGTGAGGGGACCCGTCTCCCTCTCACCAGTCCCAAGGCTGCAGGGGCCTATGGCTGGAGGAGAGGAGGCGGTGCCCCGGCCCCTCCCACCCGTGAATCGGGCCCCGCTAGCTTGCGAGCCTCCCCAGGCCTCACCTGGCTGGCAGCAGCCTCAGCTGCAGGGCCGAGGTCTGGGTGGCCCTCAACGTGGCCTGCCCGGGGGGGTCTCTCCCCAGGAGATTTCCCCCGCCGGTAAAAAGAGGACGTAGGCTTAACGCTTCACGCCCTGGCTCTCTTCAACCGTTGTCACCGTGCTGTCATCAACAAGCGCCAGCCTGCGGCAAGGTGGGGAGAGTGTGAGCAATCCCCCCCCCCCCCCCCCGCACCCCCACCTGTCCTGCTGGCCGCGTGCCCTCACCCACGTCGCTGCGCTGGCTGCTGCGGTCGTTGGGCAGGCGTGCACAGGCGGTGTAGTGGCCGCCGATCATGCCTCCGTAGTGGTTGATGACAGCGTACAGGTCATAGCTGGGCAGCTGCTCCTCCTTCTGGCCGATGCAGAACTTGCTCAGGTCCAGGTTCCTGTGGTCCAACCGGAGGTGAGAGAGGCCTCAGGTGCCTGGATGCCCACCTTGGCCCAGGCCCTGCCGACCGTCACCAGGGCCCTTCGCTCACCGGACAGGGAACTCCACCAAGTCGTTGATCTTGTCGCGCCAGATGAAGCTGCGGAAGGAGAAGCGCTTGAGCTGCACGATGAGCACGTTGGGCAGGCGCCACAGCAGCAGCTGCTTGGAGGCCTCGCGGTGCTGCTTGCACTGCGGGCAGTACCTGGCGGGCACGGGGGACGGGGAGAGGTCAGACCACAGGTCCCCACGCCCCTCCGCCCTGCCCAGCCCCGGCCTGTGCCCGCCGCACCAAGCCTCCTCCGGGGCCAGCACTTCAGGCCGAGTGAAGAGGGTGAGGCACTGGTCCAGGGTGAAGTGGCCAGCGCGCGCCGCCTCGCCAGCGGAGCCGGGATCCTCAGCGCATTCCAGCTCCTTGGAGGCCACCAACACGAACTCCTGCTGGCGATCGTTGTTGCGCCAGACGAGAGCCAGGCTGCAGTCCTCTTCCAGCTCCAGCGGGGTGTCTCCTGGGGCAGGGGGGCGTGGGGGGGGGGGGGGGGGGGTTTTAAATCCAAACCTTCTACACACCAAAAGAAACCAAGAGCGAAGTCACACGGGAAGAAC